TGTAAGTGAAGAAAAGAAAGGTATGAAAATGTGGAAGCAGTATTCCGGAACATGTGGCCAAGCAGGCCTGGGTTATCTACATGGTGACCTTCTACCCTAACATTTTCTTCCACATGCCCAGGACTTTTTCTTTTTATTCATTCATTCATTCATTCATTCATTCATTCATGGGAAACACAGAGGGGCAGAGACTAGGCAGAAGGAGAAGCAGTCTCCCTATGGGGAACCAGATGCAGGACTCGATCCCAGGACCCTGGGATCATGACCTCAGCCAAAGGCAGATGCTTAACCACTGAGCCACCCAGGTGCCCCGACCAGGACTTTTATACCTCATCCTGTCACATACAAATGCTACCAGGGACCCCTTGGGCCTAACAGTCATCCTTTTAAAAAGCGCCTGGAAAAAAAAAAAAAAAAAGCTTCCTGGATGGCAATCACCTTTTAACTTCCTTCTGGGAGTTATACAGTCTCAAGCCTATATCCTGCCTGAGCAGATGTTGGGCACTGGCTAAATGTTCATCATTTGCCTCTCTGTGGGCAGTTGAGCGCAAGATCAGGAAGGTTGTCTGTGAAGGTAGGTGGGCTGTAAAAATCTCAACCAAGTAGTTGAACAGAAAGTTCAGAGAACAGTAATAGGGAAAGCCACAGAGAACTCAGAATTTCTTGAGAGCCTTAGCATGAATCCTTTCAGACTAGGAGGTATAGAAGTGAAAGGAAAGTTTCATTGGCCTGCTGTGATCTGTAGCACAATTTTATTCCTGAAGAGGTCATCTTGACCTTTGTGTGTCACATGCAGCTCATCTTCCTGCCTTAGGAGTGGGAGAAAGAGCTTATGAAATAGCCACTTAACTTTTTTTCAGTTAGGTTGAATACAAAGGAGTTGCACAGATCTGTAGGAATTTTGCCAAGAAAGCTAAATTTCTGTGATATATCCAACCCTGAAACTGAGGAGTGGAGAAAAGAAATTATTGCTGCCTCCGTCCATGTCCACAAAGGGTAGATAGAATGGGTGGGGCAGGATGGGAAGAGAAGAAAGAAGCAGGTCAGAGGAGGAATAATAATTTCTTCTGAATTATTGAAAAACAAAACTTCTGTGGCTTAGTTTGGAGATGTTAGACCCTCTTTGAGTTTGCTGGTCTGATGATAACAGAGGAGAGAGGTTGGAGGTATGTGGATCCTCTCTTGCTTCTATATCTTTCAAAGAAGGTCATGGTCAAACTGGGAAGGGTAAAGAGGCACCTGGGTGGCTCAGTGATTGAACGTCTCCCTTTGGCTCAGGTTGTGATCCCGGGGTCCTGGAATCGAGTCCTGCATCAGGCTCCCTGTGGGAGCCTGCTTCTCCCTCTGCCTGTGTCTCTGCCTCTCTCTCTCTGTGTCTCTCATGAATAAATAAATAAAATCTTTTAAAAAAATAAATAAACAAACTGGGGAAGGGAGAATAGCTTAGTTAAGAGTGAGTTGTTGATACTCATTGAGGAGGTAAAGTTTAAGACAGTAACTATTTGATTTAAATGGCTTATCCAGTATCCTTGATTCTAGATATTATAGTGCCTTTTTTTTTTAGCTTCAGAAAGCATCTAATAATACATAGTTAATATGGCAGGTATTTTCCCCCTGAGAACCTGTTATTAATTAAATGGTTCATTAGTCTCCTGATCATGTCTTAGAATAAGGGAAATAAGGTATTTTCCTGTATTTTCCTTATGGGATGTTCTGTTTCAAATCACCACAGACATCTGTCAGTTGTCAGAAGTCGTAGAAAAAGGTACTAAAAGACTGGAAATGAGGAAATGTGGTTTGTATTTCAAAAGGGATGAGAAGATGGGGTTCGTGGACTATAAACAAGGTTGATGTTGATACTGGGCAATACTCTAGAACAGGAGTCAGCAGCAAAATTTTTCTGTAAAGGACCAAATAGTAAATATTTTTGGCTTTGTGGCCATATAGACTCTGTCACAATTGCTCATTTCCGCCATTGTAGCATGAAAACAGCCATAAACACTATGTAAACAAATGAAAATTGCTGTGTTCCAATAAAACTTTATTTACAGAAGTAGACAGCAGGCCAGATTTGGCCCACAGGTTGTATTTTGACAACCTCTGCTTTAGAATAAATTGTTAAATGGGTTTTTTGTGTGTTTGAGTATAGAGGGAACTGGTTGGTCTTGGTTCTTTGAGAAGAGATCAGGCCTGGGAAGTTCTTCTCCATCATTTTTCAGCAGAGTTACTGTTACATAAGATCAAAAGTATAGTTTATTTTGATGTCATTGAGGCATTTGGTAGAATATTTCAAAAGAAGCTTTATAGGTAAAATGTAGACCACTGCACTACAGTTAGGTAGTTGACTCTTTGGTGACTGCTGTCTTTTAGCTGATAAGAAGCAGTGGCAGATGACAATATATGAGAGCAAGCAGCAAACTAATGCTACCAGAACAATTCAATAGTATTATTTCTTTAAAACACTCTATATGTTAGCTTTTGAGATAAAAAGAACTGTAAACATAATGAAGTAGTATATTCTGATAACAAATTACCCTAGTTTGTTTGATGGAGTGATATATAGTAAAATCATGTTATCTTTCTCAAAGAGCATCATTATATCCTACTGCCTCCTTGCTGAAAAAGTAGTGCCCTACCTGTATAGTCTTCTTTCCTTGGCCCTATAATATTCTGTGTTTTCAATCGATGAATTTAACTGTATAATAACAAGTTAATTTTTTGGTGACTCAAATTTCATGCCAAATTCCTATTAACAAGCATACAATAGGAACATTCATAAATTAAAGACTGTATCTCCCAAGCTCAGTGTTTAAATGGGACTGGGAGATACTGGCTTCCAGTTATGGAATGAATAAGTCATGGGGATGAAAGGTACAGAATGGGGAAGATAGTGGTATTGTCATACTGTATGGTGACACATGGTAGCCACGCTTGTGGTGAACAGAGTATAACTTACAGAGTTGTGGAGTCGCTATATTGTATAGCTGAAACTAATGTATCATTGTGTGTTAAGTACACTTCAGTTTAAGAAAAAGACTTTAGGGACACCTGGGTGGCTTAGTCCCTTAAGCATCTGCCTCCAGCCTAGGTCATGATCCCAGGGTCCTGGGATCAAGCCCACATTGGGCTCCCTGCTCAGCAGGGAATCTCCTTCTCCCTCTGCTCCATACCCCACTTGTGCTCACTCTCTCTTTCTCTCAAATAAAGAAATAAAATCTCTTAAAATAAAAAATAAATTAAAAAAAAACTTTACAGGGGCACAGGTGGCTTAGTCGGTTGAGTGTCTAACTCTTAGCTTTGGCTTAAGGTCATGAGATTGAACATGAGGCTCCACACTCCGTGCGGCATCTGCTTGAGATTCTCTCTCTCCTTTTCCCTTCCTTCCACCTTGCTCCCAGGTGCATGTTCTCCCGCTCTCTCACTCTGTCTCTCTCAAATAAATAAATAAATAAATAAATAAATAAATAAATAAATAAATAAATAAATAAATAAATAAAATCTTTAAAAAAAAAAGGACAATGTAAAGTAAGCCCGCCCTTTATATGGGAGTTTTCCAACAGCTGTAACATTCTGGATTCACCAACAATTTAAGTCCGCACTAAACCAAAAATTCCCCAGGATAAGTTTTAGTCACAAAGTCTACATACTTTCCCTTCTTAAGACTTAGACATATTTGATGTTCTAGTATTTATTCACATTTCCCAGAAAATGTCAATCCTATTCTAGAATGCAGTGTAAAAAGGGGGAAAAAATCAGAGTCTGTGACAGAGGGTCAGAGAGGACATGGAGCAGCAGAAGCAGGTATAATTGAATAAAAGTGTGTCAGCTGGGACTCCGTATGACAAGGGACAGAAAGCCAGCTCAATCTGGCCTAAAAAAGAGAGCATGAGAAAGGGGCGGAGAGAGATTGGGAGGAAAGATTCTTAGCAATGTATTAGCTTGTGTGGCTGGAAAGTCCAGAAATGTGGCTCCTAATCATGCAAACATTGTCACCAGGTACAAGTAACTGGTTTCTCTCTGCTCTCTCCCCCTACCTCCCCACCCCCCCACCCCCCCACCCCCCCGCCCCTGTGATAGAAGCCTTGCCCTCCCTTTCATATTGGGACCTCCAGCAGCTTCAGGCTCTTTGCATTATGTTGGCAAAACAGCCATGGCAGTTCATACCCTCACACATTGCTATCCAAGAAAATAAGAGCTGGTTTGTCAGGAGCTCCTGTGGAAGAGAAAGGAAACTTATTTTTTCCCAGAAGCCCTAGGGAGCATCTTTTGCTTTCATTGGCTCTATTAGTGTATGTACCAATCCCAGAACCAGTCATTGTGGAGGTGGGTAAAACATGCTGATCAGCTGACATCAGTCTAGGCCCACCCCCAGAGCCAGAGCTAGTGTCCCTCACTTAGACTCTAAGAGAATGGGGAAGGACTGTTTTCTCAAAGGGGATGTGGGGTCCTACTCCCAGGAGGGTATGTTTGCAACAAACAGCTGTCTACCACAAGTACTGTGAGAAGTGATAGCATAGTGGAAGGCACCAAAGAGGTGATCTACTTCTATCTGGTGTTCCAGATAAAACAACACAGCATCCCTGTGCCTTTTACCTATTTGTGTAGCTTTTAAAGCATCACTGGAATGGTAATAATGCATCACTGATATTCATAATGATGAACCTGAGACATCTAGGAAAGGTTAAATTATGTTTGATTTACCTAAGGCAGGGAAGAACTTAATGGATGTTGGAAAGGTTTGTGCATGCTTTAATAAATATCAGTATTTTAGAAGGACTAAAACTAAGCCAACCAAAAAGCTCTTTTTACCATATTAGGTTTTGTTTTTTTTTTTAATGTCTAGCGTTTCCTTGTGCTAAGTCTTAACCTATACCTCACCAAAGTCGTGAGTTTAACTGTGAACTGTTTTCACAAGCTATGCTTTAACTATATTTGGTTTATATCTTAACAGAGTAAAATTACATTTATTGATGAAAATATTGTTTTTTGCTTTGGTCCAGAATGCATACACAGCCACAGCTATCAACAGCACCAACTTCTGCACCTCCGCGAAGGATGCCTTTGTCATTCTGGTGGAGAATGCTTTACGGGTGGCTGCCATCAACACAGTGGGGGATTTCATGTTATTCCTAGGCAAGGTAAGACCAAATATGTTATCTGAAACATAAAGTCAATTTTTGTATATTTATATATGAAAAATACCTTGCTTACCAAAATACTAAATATATGTAATATAAAAGAAGCACTTACAAAGCCCTAATTTGTGTCAGATACTATTCTAAGTATCTATGGTGCTCATTTAATCCTAACAACAAATTTGTAAAGGAAATTCTAATATTATCCTCATTTTTATAATGGGGAAAGGGAGACACAGCAGTTAAGTAATTTGCCCATGTTTCTCCTTACATATTTTGATCTGTAAAGAATTCAGAACCAGTCTGCTTAGTGGTTAGGGGTACTGCATCAGGAGTCTGCGTCAGTTTAAATCCTGGCTCTGTTACCTACTAGCTGTGACCAAGGCAGGGTACATAACCATTCTGTGCTTCAATTTGTGCGTGTATGAAAGTGTGATAATAATAGAGTCATACCTGTAGGGCTATGAGGATTAGATGCATAATATGGATAGTGTCCCTAAGACAGTGCTCAACACATTTTACGTTCTCGATGAATGTTGGCTGTTACTGTTACTATGTATAAATGCCTTTAAAACAGAGCTCTTAGGAAGTGAGACTTACCTGTCCTTAAAGTGTCTGAAAAGAGGTAATTTTTATGTACTTTTAAAATCTGCAAAATAATAAATAACAATATAATGGATTTCTTTGTATCTGTAGTTTGAACCATTAAATACTCAGAAAATTTGAAAAATTGAGCTGACACCATTATAGCCTAATAATATCATTTTCATATATTCCCTCCCAGTGTTTTTTTGTAGGCTCATATTTCTGTAGAATAACAATCATAGCATCATACCAGTTTGTTCTGTCCTTTGTACTTCATATTATATCATATACAATTCTCATATTGCCCTGATAATCTTCATAATTATTCATTATCATGATGGAAAGTATTTTATCAAATGCCATTCTTAAATATCCTCTCACTGCTAAACATGTAGGTTACTCCAGCCACTGTGTTTTGAAAATGTTTTTGAAAGGGAAAAAATATTTGATGTATAGAGGCATGGATAGCACAGTGTGGTTTCAAGTTCTCAGGCAACTGTCATCTGAAAAGAATTATAAAACTGTGCAGTTATTTTGAGAATCTGTAATTCAACTTACATTATGACTGTTGGATTTGTCCTTGTCATGTTCTTACAAGAGGAAATGTTTTATAGTAAGGACTGAATGAGTTAATCCATGTTAAGGACTGAGTGTAGTGTTTGACACTCTTATTAACTATTGCTGTTATTTATATGCTATATGACTAATTTAAGAAGGCTTCAGATTTTTTGTCTATTTTATGTTTTACATATTTATAATTTACTGCTAAGAAGGATATGAGGCAACTTAAAGTAAGAACATGTGTATACAGAGCAATTAAAATAAAAGAGAAGCCATATTAGAAGAGTAACAGAAAATTATATTCAGGAGCAGCACTTGATCATGATGGTGATTTTAGTAAACTGATGGAGACACTTGCTCAGCACTAGGTACTGAGGAATGTATTTTATGTGAAGTGTTAATCATCCTCCCCTGTAAGGTGAGCCACTGTTACTACCTTCATTTTATAGCAGAGGAAACCAAAGTTAGGAGAACTAGATACGTTGCCCAAATTTAAAGAACTAGAATGTGGCAAAGCTGGAGTTCAAACTTAGGTCTGTCTGGTTTCTCAGTTTTAAGTCACTATGCTCTGACATTAAGTTTGCCCTTGGATTTTTTTTTAAGAAGTCTTTTGATTCAGGAATTCTCTTGATGGTAAACCACTACTAGAAATAATTCTAAATACAGAAAAATAGAGTATTATTTCTAATAGTTACCAATTGCAAACAATCTGCTGCCTAACAAATTGCACTACTAAGCATTTATCCTAAAGATACAGATGTAATCTGAAGGGGCACCTGCACCCCAATGTTTATAGCAGCAATGTTCACAATACCCAAACTATGGAAAGAGCCCAGATGTCTATTGACAGATTAATGGATCAAGAAGATATGGATATACACCATGGAATACTACCCAGGCATCAAAAAAGAAAAAGAAAAAAAAAAAACAAAAAGAAAGAAATCTTGCCATTTGCAATGACATGGATAGAACTAGAGGGTATTATGCTAAGCAAAATAAGTCAATCAGAAAAAGATAATTATCATATGATTTCACTCATAAGTGGAATTCCAGAAACAAAATGGAACCATAAAGAAAGGGAGACAAATATAAAACAAGATGAAATCAGAGAATCAGAATCAGAGGGAGACAAACCATAAGAGATGCTGAACTCTAGGAAACAAATTGAGGGTCGCTGGAGGCTTGGGATCTGGGGGACAGGGTAACTGGGTGATGGACATTAAGGAGGTTCATGTGATATAATGAGCCCTGGGCATTATATAAGATTGATGAACCACTGACCTCTACCTCTGAAACTAGCAATATACTACATGTTAGTTCATTGAATTTAAATTTTAAAAAAGTAAAAAAAAAATTTTTTTCTGAATCTACTGCCTGACAATAGAGAAATGGTTAGAAATAATAGCAGACTATTATTTACCTATTAGACCATATTTTTCATTAAAAGTTCATAATATGATAAGCGAAAAGGCTGAGTAAAACTACTGGACTATCACTGTTAAGTACTGTTTAAGTACTTAAACTGTTAGTACTGTTAAGTACTGTTTAAGAATGTACATATGAAAAAGAATTACTATCTCAAAATGTTAATAATGATTATCTTTGGATATTGAAAATATCTTTGGATATTGAAAATGTGAGTGATTCGAAACCCCTTCCCCTACGTTACCATAATAATCTCTATAAAATATGGATTTTTGGAATGCCTGGGTGGCTCAGCGGTTGAGTGTCTGCCTTTGGCTCAGGGCGTGATCCTGGAGTCCTGGGATCGAGTCCCACATCAGGCTCCCCACAGGGACCCTGCTTCTCCCTCTGCCTATGTCTGCACCTCTCTCTGAATAAATAAATAAAATCTTTAAAAATAAATAAATATGGATTTTTTGAATAATGGAGAAATATAGAGATGATAAAATACAATGTTTTAAAATTGACTTTGAGTTTTTCAGCAGCTTAGTGACCTGTCAAAATTTTTTCTTTAGTTTTATCATAACCTTTTTTTCATCCCAGAAATATTCTAGAATGCCCACTACTAATATGTGAGGGACTTTTCTGGGTACTGGTTATATACTAGTCAATAAAAAGAATTTAAAATCTAGTAGAAAAGGCAGCTTTATATCCCTCTTTTCACTTCATATTATGTTATGAGCATTTCCTATTTTGTTAAAAATGTTTTAAACATGGTTAAACAATTGCTGTATCATCATTTATTTAACCAAACCTCCAATTTCTTTTTACGGTTAAACTGTTCTCATTTATGAATATAAAGTATGATACTGTGAAACTTTTGTATACAAATCCTTGCCTGTGTCGATCCTTATTTCCTGAGCCCAGAATCATAGAAGTGGAATTAATGAGTCAAAGTACATAATAGGTTTCTTGATGTACATTGCTAAATTGCTTTCCAGAAACATATAAATTGGAATAATACAAAATTTGTAACACTGTAAAAAAGCCACGGATGATAAATTATTTTTTAATCGAGATACTAAAAAAGGAGGGAAAAAATTGAGAGGGGAATAAAGTCTTCTGGGTTTTCAACATACTGAGATAAATATTCTTTAGTTATCTTTTTTAAAATGTAGTTCTGATCACAGAATGCAGGAAATCTTTTGAAAGCATTTCTTTCGTAGAATTAAAAGTGGCTACTAGTATTCAGAAATAGTTTTCTGATCAGATAGTTCAAGTGGGTAGATCTGAATAAGCATTATAAAGGACAGGGAGCATCTGGGTGGCTCAGTTGGTGAAGTACCTACTGTCTGCTCTTTGGCTCAGATCATGATTCCAGGGTCCTGGGATCAAGCCCAGCACGTCATGTCATCCCGGCTCCTTGCTGAGCAAGGAGTTTGCTTTCCCCTCTGCTCCTCCCCCTGCCTGTGCTCTTTCTCACTCACTCACTCTCTCTCAAATAAATAAAGTCATTTTAAAAAAATAAAAGTGTCAGGAACAAACTATTGATAATATACAACTTGGATTAATCATGAGGGAATTTTGCTGAGTGAAAAACTCCAATCCCAGAAAATTAAATACTGTATTGATTCCATTTATATAACATTCTTAGATACCTTTTTTTTTTTTTAAGTAGGCTCTATGCCGAATGTGGGGCTTGAAACAGTCTTAAAATGACAACATTATGGAAATTGGGAACAGATTTGTGGTCACCCAGTTAGAGATGGGGTTGGAGGAGGAATAGGAATAGTCATAAAAAGGGTAAGGTGAAGGATCCTTGTGATGATGAAAGTGTTCTGTATCTTGACTATGTTGATGTCAATACTGTGGTTATGATATTGTACAATACTATAGTGTAGTTTTACAAGATGTAATCATTGAAGGGAACTAGGTAAAGGGTACATGGAATCATCTGTGTTATTTCTCACACCTACCCATGAATTCAAAATTGTCTTAAAACTTAAGATTTAATTTTAAAATCCCTAAATTTAAAAGAAAACCAAAGACAGTGCCATGGATCCCATTTCCATGGAACCCAAGTAGTTTCATGGCATGGTAAATTAGATTTGGGAGGGATCTTAGGTCCTCTAATGTAGTGGCTTGTGAACTGTGATCACTGGCCTATGGGGCCCCCACAGATAAAAATAGAGATTTACAAGCTATTTAAACATTTTCAAGTCCAGTAGATAGTGCATATTTGCCCAATAAAACTATACAAAAATACCCACAAAATCTCAAGCTCTTCACTTCTGTGTGAAATTATTTTATCTCTATTTGATAATACTTTTTCTAACATTAATCATTGGAAGTTTATTTGGTATTGATTAATTAAAAATGAGGATATGAATTATTACTTATAGGTGCTATTTTACTGGTAAACAAAATATTTCAAAACTTTGAGTTCCATGTGGAAAGGACATCATAAATGCAAGATTTATGGTGGAAATGAAAGGAAAAAACAATGATTGCCAAGCACTGTAGGGTTTCAGAATGCCTTATTTTAATACTTAGGGATGTGTGTACTATTATGTCTCTTTTAAAGGCAGAAAAACAGACTCAGGTTAAATTTGACCTTGCTTCGAGTTACAAAACTAAGAAGTATTAACTCTGTGATTCAAATCTACATCTTTCTGATTACAAAACTAGCACCCTTTCCTTCCTGCAGAAGAGTCAAAACTTTTTAAATCATATGTCTTATTAGAAAAAAGTTTTGAGCCCACTTCCTAATATATTTATATTTATTAATGTATGTGCTGTGTTTAATAATTTGTGTATTCTAAAGCATAGTATTAAAAAATTTCAATAAATGAGAAAGACAATTTGAAGTCCTAAGTGATCCCCTCAAATACTCCTCGGGTATTTGTGATCAGTATGGAGATCACTGATACAGACCAGTACTTCTTACAGGCTGTGGACTTTATCGCAATGACCTTAGGTACTTTTTAAATGAATGTTGCTGGGCTTCCCCTTATTGGACTCTAGGGGTGGGGCCCAGGAATCTGTGTTATTCACAAACTCCCCAAGTGATACCTATCTCCTCTATTGTTTGAGAACCGTTAATGTATCCTCTGCTTGAATAAATGGATGATACCCTTTCATAATATTTGGGAGTAATTATTATATTTCTTTGACCTTTTTGGCTAAATATCATTAATTCTTGAAGATTTTTCTCATATGACAATATCTAGCCTCCCACCTCAACAGCTTTGGTCTCAGCATTGGTTTGTCTGAGCCATACCTTCTCCCTTTAATTGACTTTAACATTTCAAATGTGGCTTAACTTCTGGTGGTATAATGAGAGCAAAAGACCCTCAGTCCTGCAGGATGAATATCAAAAATTTGAAGATGAGTATAAGACATAACTGATTCTAAAAACCAAAAAGAGTGAAAGAAAACAGATATAATTAGCTATCTGTAGAAGTCACCCCAGAAAATAAGTAACTATTAAAGAGGATTCCTGAGTGCCTCAAAAAATGATGGAGGGTCTTTCAAATTTTGGACAAACCCAGATTTGCTCCCTAACTCTGAGAAGGGTCATTTATAGTCTGATCAATATTTCCCCTAATGCCTTATAACTCTTGGTTAAAATGATGAGGGAGAGGTGCTTTGGTGTGGATAAATAGGGAAAAGGCAAGAGAATTCTCAATCAAACCATTCTCAGCACTGGACAAGGAAAGGCTGCTGTGATTCTAGAGCATTCTTTCTTTTCCTTTGTTATTTAATGCTGGGTGGTAGGCCAAGTAAGGGGCTGAGCAAAACTCTGTTCAGGATTCAATAAAACCTGTTACTGCTTTATATTCAAATCCAAGCATTTCCTGAGTTTTTACCTACAAATAGTGCTGGAGTTGGCATTGTAACACCGTTATTTGGGTGGTGTCTGCTCTTCTACTCTGTGACCTTGGGCAGGTTGCCTAGCATCTCTGAGCACATTTCCCAGTCTATAAAATGAGGATGATAATGTTCGCCATAAACCATTCATAGAGATTGAAAAACCGAACTAAAATGTATTAAAAGAACCACAAGAAATGTAAAGTGCTGCATGAGAAAGATCAGAGTAGGTCATTCTTGACAATAAGCAAATCGGCTATTTCTTGTATTCTTCTATTATGGATGTTTGTGGCAGCCTCTTTCCTCACAAGGTAATCCAAATCTAAATTTCAAGGCAAATCATATTAAATTCACCACGTATACTGTGTGAAATAAAATACGAAACAAAGAAAGAACCCTTAGAGATGTTTGTTGCAGCATTATTTATACCAGAAAACAATAGAAGTCTCCAGTTGGAGAAGCCCAGTCAAATTTTAAATCACCCCTAAAATGAAATTATGTGGCTAAGTATTTATGAAATATTTAGAATGATGCTATAAATATTAATGAATAGATTTTAATGATTCATATATAATACTGTTTCATATATGTAAAAGTGCTTAGAAAAAAGTACATAGCAACACTCTGGAATGTCAGTAATTTTCTTCTAAGTGCTACTAGGGGAATTTTCTAAAATATGCATACCTTGATGTTAAAAATTGCTAAATATGGGAAGTTTTAAAGGTGCTAAATATGGGAAGTTTTAAGGAACCAGCATAACGTTTGGAAAACATGACTATTTTTCATTTAAACCAGACGTGTTTAACGGATTCTGTTTTATTTATGTGATATATATGTATACGTGTCTGTGGATATATGTGAATTATACTTCCTAACTTGAGGTGGAATGAATGTATGCGACCATCATTTATACATGTTGAAGGGAATTTGAAGTCTGCAAATGATGAAGAAATGGTGATTTTCTGTTGTAGGCTATTAAGTGTCCTCTTTGTTCTCTCTGCTTCAGGTGCTGATAGTCTGCAGCACAGGCTTGGCTGGGATTATGCTGCTCAACTACCAGCAAGATTACACAGTATGGGTGCTGCCTCTGATCATCGTCTGCCTCTTTGCTTTCCTAGTCGCTCATTGCTTCCTGTCCATTTACGAAATGGTAGTGGATGTATTATTCTTGTGTTTTGCCATTGATACAAAATACAATGATGGGAGCCCTGGCAGAGAATTCTATATGGATAAAGTGCTGATGGTAAGTACTTCAAATGCCCTCCACTGCTTTAGGGGTAAAAATACTAGTGAAAATATTTTGCAAAACGTTCTCTGTAATTCACTCCTAGTATATGCAACTAAATAATTTGGAGTTAAACCTGTAGTGTTCAGGAATGAGGTTAGTCATGGGGAAATCAGGGAAGAAGGTCCCATCCTTGGTATGGATGGGAAAATTTAAATACACCAAGCTGTAGCCATACCCACTTTAGCCCTGAGTTCATATTATGTCATACTCCTGCCTCCCTCTCTGCGATTAGATGGAATAGAATTGACTTTTTAAACCTGAGTTTTAGCCCTTGAATTGGAACATTGGACCACTGATGTTCTCAGTGCCCTTTTCTAAAGTGGAGCTCAAAGACTTCCTAGGTTGTAGTACCTGCCTGTATTTCTCCAAATATCACCTTTCCAAATATTATTGCTGTCAACCCCACTAAAACTCATTATCCTAAGTATGCCAGGCCAAATTGAGGGTGTTGCATAATGAATACAGATGAACAGACCCTGATTGTATTATTTTCCATTAGTCAAGATCCAAATCTTTACACAGGTATTAACATTTACATTCTTTATACTTATGTAGCCTCTGCAGCTTCCCTGTTTTCCAATCTCAATAGAAATTTTTTAAACATTTAGAATCTGTATTTAAATGGTTCAAATACTGTTACCAATGTCAAATGCTACCAAATTAAGGATACTTCTTAATAATAATACTCTGCTGTTAAGCAGTGAAATATTCCTACCTGAAGAGTAGGTAACATTGAAGACTAAATATTAGACACTAAGATAACAAGTCCTCTGCCCAGGAGTATGGTTTATCTAGTTAAATCGAAAATATATGTGGTAATAAATAAGATAGATTCCTTTTTTTCCCCCAGTTGCAAAAGTTGTAAATGATTTAATGGACATATTTGGTACTGATGATCTCTTTCACTGAGAACACCATTAGCTAAATTTTGGACATTTTCATAATGTCTAAATTATAATTCTAACTGGTTGTCTTCATGATGGAATTTGACTTGTGAGCATTCTACCTCCCTGCTGATGAAGGCATTTAGAAGAAGAATTTGGTGATATCTGGCTGGCTTAGTCGGTAGAGCATGTGACTCTTGATCTTGGGGTTATAAATTTCAGTGCCATTTGGGTGTAGATTAAAAAAAAAAAGGAAGAAGAATTTGTTTTTGTTTTTTAAACCCCTGATCAGAAGCTGAGTAAAAAAAAAATACACTTTTTCTTTTAGTGTTTTCTGTAAGAATGATGAGAATATTTAATGGAGAATTATTCCATAAACTTTGACAGGATAGAAATGTCTCCTTTGGGGCACAATCCCATTTTAATTACTTTTGACCACAAGTTCTAGTTGTTACTTCCTGCTTTATGGAGTAATTTCAAAGCCAGATAGGCATTTTTTTTTTTTAAGTAGCTCATTTATGGCTTGGTAAAAACCGTGTTCTGGACGTAGTAGTATCGATGCTTTTTCTTTTATCTTCTAAGGTTATTTTAAAGAGAGGGCATAAATGCTGGAGTGTGGAGTAAAATGCTCTTGTTGTTCTGTTCAACCTTGATTTGGAAAAAGTAGAACAACAAAACAATAACCTAAGTCTGGGAAAACAGTCCTTTAAAAAAAAAAAGTTAGGTATTTTCTCTTCCAAATAGAAGTAACATTCTCACCTTGAGCCTCAGTACGATGGTCACAACGAATGGATCAAAAAGATTTTATCTTGACAAATTTAGCAGCTCTTGTGTAGAGTTAATAAATATAATTTACTGCTGTTTTCAGGCCATCCATTTACTAACATAGAATCAAAAATGTAAAAGCTCCTTAGAAGTCATCTACCAACCATCATCTGAAAGGACCCAAGAATTCATGCAATCTGGTCCATATTTTGCAGGAGTTTGTGGAAAACAGTAGAAAAGCAATGAAAGAAGCTGGTAAGGGAGGCGTTGCTGATGCCAGAGAGCTAAAACCGATGGTAGGTGGAGATGAGGCGGTGGCCGGCCTCCAAGAGTTTCATTTTCACTTCCTCTCTCTCTCTGTCTTCACTGATTGCACTTCTTCGGGAGAAGCTTTGGTTATCTGTATCACGCAGGACGTGCTGCTCTTTCTGTTTGTGTGTTTACCCATCACCTGGATTGCAGAATTCTTGTCACAACTGAGGTCACCTTCTGTAAAAGTAAGCTGAAAGGAACAACATCGTTTTCCTGTGCCTGTGGTGGGCAGGGGCTCTTTTGTCCCTAAAGTAAAACTGCTGGTTCAATGCAGGGCAGGGAGGTGGGGGGGGCGGGGACACAAGGGGGGTGGTGTTTTTAACTGTCAGTGTTTGGTTTTCATCAGACTGAACATGTGGTTATACGGTTGAATGGACAGTCTGATTTTTGTCATTTTTGGAAGGTGATAATTCCTTTCAACTTGCTAAAATTCATATCCCCCACTTTTTAAATATTGTTTTGTTTCTGTTCCTGTCTTTTACCCTTTGCTGACTTTTTCTTCTGTTGCCTGGATTGTACTTTCTTTGTTTCTTAAGCTATTTTTCAGTAGCCAACAAGGTTTATTTCCATCAGCACTCACGTTCCCGCTCAGTAAGACAACCTGGTCTTCTCTAACCTCAGCTTAATTGTGAGAAGGATAAATGATCTCTGGTCAGTGATATATATGTATTATAAGTACTCTACTTTCATTTGAAGAAAAAAAAAAAGGCAACTTAATCACTGTAAGAGACTCCTGAGTTGCTTTTCCCACAGATATTCCCACCTCTGCATAATGACAGATGTCTTTTGCGTATATTTGTGTAATTACTGCTTATTTTACAAATGTATTGTTCTTAAAGAGCATGTTACTACAAGATATTATATGATTGCCTACCTCCTTAAACAGTTCATTTTAAATAATGTGCCTTCTAATTGCACATAACCTCCAAAAGTATGAGATGAAGACTCTTCTTTCTTCTTTATAGTGTAGTAAGTGGTTGATTTCATAGGTTTCCATCTTAAGAGTAAATACATAATATAAAACAAGCCCATTTAAGTATACAAGAGTAAAGAAAATGGGTCCGTTTAAGATAGGGAGGGAGGAAGGCTATATGGATATGCAAAATAATTGTATATTCAACCTAAATTAAAACCTCAGCAGAATGTTTAGAATAAACTCTTTCCTCCATAACCCCTTCCAGGGCATGTTTTGGTGTTACTTTTAATAGCATTGATGATTATAAAGTCAAGACTTCAATGTTTACTTCCCAAGGTACAGATCACTCTAATCATAAGTAAAGGGATGTCAAGCTCTTAGTTTTAATTAAGCCTGCATCTACCAGAACTGCACTGAGTGAGCGAGGGGCACCATCAGCAACCCCCCAGTCTGGTTACTTGCCTTCCCTTTCTTTCTTTCTGTATCCCTCTTACTTGACACTGGCTGAGGGGGACAGCAATAAAGGTTCTTGCCAACCTTCTGGTGGCATGGGGAAATGAGGAAGGCTTTCTTCTTGCCACTGTTTGTCTTTCTTGTTCAGTAAATAAGGATCCCAGCCTATAACTTAAAAAGGTAAAACATAAAATCTTAAAATGCAAGCCATTTTTTCTCTCCCTTTTCTGCCTTTCCACTGGTTGACACTTTTCTATTAAAGCATTTGTCAGTAATAATCGTTTTTTAAAAGGGAGAAGTATTTGGAGGTCTAGACTAGCTTAGATTGACCATGAATTGGCATATGTATTTCTGCATCATTCTTTAGTGAAAGATAAATTGCGGTAGACCAGAATGCAGAATTCTCTTACCTAAACCCCTAATTCATTGGCGATAATACTAGGAGAATTGCCCAAGTTATGGGGCATTCTACCGGAAGCCAAGATTTAGAAAGATTTTTTTTTCCAATATTACTTTCAGTTTTAAATTAATGTCCCTTAACTCAAACACTGCTTTAAAATCTTCATTCATATTTTGCTTTTATTTTATGTTGTTCATCAGTTCATTGCTTGCTGATTAATGGCAAAACCTTCCACTATGCCCCCAAATCTATCTTTTATGTGCATTGTTCTTCTGGTGCTTTGGACATTATAGCATTTGATCTCTAAGAATGATGTTTTATATGATTTAAAAATTTCCCAGGAGAGAAGTTGAGATGTTGCTTACAGGATAGTTAAAAATTTGAAGCATAACCAGTAGCTCTGATTCTTAGCTCTCTTTTTAAATTAGCATGATGAGAGTTGACCACTCTCTTGGATGTGTCCCTAAATAATTATCTTAGAAATTCCTCACTCAAATTTAGGGATTGATAGAATTTAGGATTGCTTATTTGTATTTGCTTGGTTTAATTCACACGTTGTTCCCTTAGATGAAGATTCTGTAAAAGTGTCATACCTATTTTGCTGTATCTATACAATCTGCTCTTTAAGTTCACTTGTCTATCTTCTTTCTTGATGGGATATTTTAATTTAGGGTTTACTTTTTGCCTATAGAATAACATTCAGGAAAAATGAGGTTTTAAGTTTCCCTTTTGACAGGAGACCATTGAAGTAAATAAGTACTTCCAGTTTAACTCTTGGGCTTTTTTTTTTTTTTTTTTTTTTTTTTTTTTGAGAGAACCTCACCAGTTAAGGAAACTTTGAAGGTTTGTGAGGTCATCCTATAAATCTTTGAAAATGATTTTAGAAAAATTGATCAAATGTGATGTAGAAGTTTAAGAAAGAGACATTCCGGCCTTCCGTGTACAGGAAAGAATTTATAGAGGAAAGGGGAGAAAAGAAACCTGAACACTATAGCAACTTAGGCCATAGACGTATTCTTCTACATATCTCAAAGATTCCCCCAAAAGGAAGTGTGATTTTCAACATTCATAGGAATTACAGCCCCTGGAATAGAAGTTCAAGGAGAAAGGCTCTCAGTCCATTTTGCTTTGCTGCCGCTTATCACCATCTATGTATTTGTAACGTCATTCATGATCTCCTTTTAATGGTAATTGTCTAAGATTATACTCTGTATGACTTTGTTTTCTAGGCTTCGGGAGCAAGTTCTGCTTGAACCTAGCCGACCGTTATGGAACCCATTGACATTCCAAAACAATATATACACATAACTATGTATTTGTGTGTGTGGGTGTGTGTATATATGTATATGTATGTGTGTATATATATGTATATGTATATACACACACACACATAATCAGCCAAAATCAGAGAAAAGGAACAGGGATTTAATACCTTTTTTATGCTTATTTTTGTCAAACATGTACTCCTTTCATACGGGTGGCTTTTACGAGGCAACTGCCGTCATTTAATGTTTTCAATTGTAATTGTCTTAATGGAAATGTTAAGATTCATATCTGATTAACATTTTTAATAACTTAGAGGAGATTTTAACTTTAGTTATTTAAATTAGGTAAAATGATTGTACCGAATTCTCTGTCTAAAGTTTATTCAGGGGTGATTTTCCCTGATGTATGCATAAAATCAAGGTCTTATTTTACTGATGCATAAGTCCTAGTGGGATGAGACTAGGCATATGCTTTCAGATAAATAAGGAGATACTCCAATCAGTTTTCCCCAATCAAAGAAGCCATGTCATTTTACTTTTAGAAACATACTAGTGGACTCAATATGGGAATTTTCATAATAGCTCATGCATTTGTCAGCCAACATTAAAAAGTAACCAACTCCTCAGGTATTTGTAGTTTACCCTAAGCTTCTATAAGAGAGTAGGTTAAAAAGAAAAGGGTAGATAATCTTTCTTATGCAAACTTTGTTCTTATAGTTTGTCTTTCTTTCATTTTTTACTGTAGTAGCATCCTCCACACATTTGTGTGCCTGATTTGAAGGGAAGCTGGGGTGCCCAGCAACTTTAGCCTTTAAGTTTCTGTGTATTGATTTGCTGATTAAGTAATGCTGGGAGGAATAAAAAAGGGAGAGAATCATGGAACACAAAGCATTGCAGATTCCAGTGCTTGGGCTTCTGCTTCTAAGGAACTTCAGTGGCTTCAGGCTTAAGTGGCCATTTTATTCAAATGCTTGCTGTAAAATCTGAAAACATACTGGCAGGTGCTCCTCTCCTCGGCAATTCATTCAGTATCCAGAATCCTACAATGTTTCACTGAAGAATTGGTTATATTTTTTTGATCCTCAAGGGTTGAATATTCTTTTTCTTTGGGAATGGGTTTGGGGTTTTTTGTTTCTTGTTGTTTTTCTTTTTTTATTCCTGAAGCTTACCAGATATGAATGGCTAATATTCCATTGTTCTGCTTATTGTAATGGTGAATGCTTTAAGAAAAAAAAAAGTGTAATTTGCTAAGAATAATTCATGATCTGTTTATGCGATAACTCCTTTTTGTTACGATTTTTTTAAAAAAAGCTATTTTTGTTAATGTAAAGTAAATATTTCAGAGCAAATTTTTTAAACTTATTGCACTAAATACAGGCTCTGTACAAAAAAAAAAAAAAAGCCTCAGCATTTTATCATTCCATGGAAGAAGAATCTTTTGAAAGAAAGCATTGCCTCCTACCAGAATTAGACAGTGAATTAGACCGGTATTATGGAAATGCATACAATTAATGTCACTAGGGCTTAATAAGCAGCGATTTGCTCATGTGCTTGCTTTCAAAGGGTTAGACCTTTAAATTGCTGCAAAGGTAAATTGTTTCTTTGTTTTTTGTTTTTTGGGTTTTGTTTTTTTTTTTTTTTAGTATCCGTGTTCTTTACTCTAGCTAGGCTAAAATTTGCTAAATGCCTTGGTTTCTTCTCAAAGCTCATGTAATATTTCTGATTTTTCAGAATATTTGCAATAAGAGTCTGGATTTAAAACAAAACAAAACAAAACAAAAAAACACACAGTTAAGAGCTCATATCTTGGCAAGACCTGAGAAACCAACATTGTGAGAATAGCTATTTTGAAACAGTAATTCTCCAGAAGTTAACATCTAACATCAGCCAGACAGTATCATTGTACTCTTTTGTATCATTTGAAATGGAATAAGTATAATTATGTAACTAACAATTATCCAAATAGATGAGAGAGCAAATAATGTGAGAAAATTCGGAATACCTTCTGTTTCATAGCCACACAGATTTTGGACATTAAGAAACATTGGGAACTAAATTTAGGATGAAAAGTTTGAAGACGAGTATCAGAACAGAAGACATTCTAGGAGCTAGCTATTTTAGGAGATGTCCCTCCAAAGTGACGTGATGGAAGTCTTGAATTTGGAAATTAGGTTCTACTCACTTGGACATCCCAACATCATGGACTCTTGCTGCTCCCTGTTGCATTTGCTCGCAATCTCAGCTATTTGGAAGCCACCAGGAATGCTTTCTAATTATCATTTGCAACTAGAACTGTAATCAAAAAGAAATTTTGTATTTTTGTATAACTTGATTGTGTGCCATTTTATATAACAGGTCCTGTTTTACAAATAAATTTTGTTTTACTAACATTGTGTTTAGAAATTATGATCTATGTGTAACCATGTCATTTGAGTTTCAAATTAATTGCCAGGCTGTTTTCCCTAAGTAAATTTGTGTGCCATGTAAGTAGATATATGCATCTGTGCATATATACATTACACAGGCACACACAGAGAGATATTTAATACAGAGAATATCACTCTCTTACGAGCTTCATTCCTTGATACGTGTTATAAAGCCTCCCAGAGGCTTTTTAGCAATATTTAAATGTTTTGAGGTTATGTTTGGATATTCCTGCTGCCTCTTTCATTCATTGCGAGTCATTCTCCAGCTAGCTCTGGGCTGCCTTATTGCTATTCGCTCACTGCCTCCATCTTCTGCCCAAGTGCGAAGAATAGATGAAAAACAAAAATTATCTGTGATATGTGGTGACCTGAATAATTTTATAAGCCATTGACTCTGTGTTGTGGTTTGTGTCTTTTTCTGTGGTGGATCTTCAAAACTGTGTTCAGTACTTACATCTGCAGAGTCACAGTTAGGGTCCTCTACTGTAAATACTGATCATGGTGACCAGAGTATCACTGTGGGTTCTGTTATCAGAAAAAGGCTCTGATACATGATTTAGACTTTCTAGGCTCCTGCCTCAAGAGCAAGCGCTGCTGTAATATAAAATGGAAGGGAAAAGGTTATATATTTCAGTTATAAATCCACGAGACCCATCTTCTATGGGAGGCTTAACCAGCGCCTTAGGTAAACATTAGGAATTTAGCTAGGGCATTGAGATTATATAATCCTTGCATGGATGAGCAGAGCTCAAAGCAGGTTGTTCCTTTAAATCATTTAATGCAATGCTTCATGTTTAGGATTAGAGCTTTTATCCTATACTATAGCATGATTAAACCCCACGTACTGCAATTTAAGTAGCTTAACTGTCTGTTGTTCCCCAAACTTCTTCCATAGTGGTTGGGGAGGAGGCGCTCACTAAGTCTATTTTAAAATTATACTGGAAATAAGTTTTTTTCTCTAGAGATATCCCCTTACTCTTATATTTTCTTTTTTCAGCAAAGAACATTAAGCTGCTGTTTTCTGATACCATTGACCTTGGTATCTGCCAGGGGCCCTTGTCTTTCCAGGGCAGTTTCAGGACTTCATCCCACTAGGGGGTAGTGAAGAGCTGACCCCTGCCTTTGCCCTGGTCCTGAGCTGCAGCTTTACACCGGAGCAATGTTCTCCCACCAGAACTGCTGGCACCAAATATCAGGCCATGTCAGTGCCCCCAACGCTTCAGCCATTTCCACCAGGCACCTGTACTAGCTAATAAAATCCATTTCAGGAGGTCCTCTCCGCCCACCCCACCTACAAAACAAAACTATGGGGTCAGTTCCAAAACCAGAGTTGCCAATTATGGTGACCCAAGCGTTTAATTTTGTCTTTGGTCAGTAACCTTCTCACTTGAATTTTTGGAGTTTCCAGTAGCCTTAACATAGCCTGTGAGAAGTTTCCTTCAGAAAAGTCTTTAAGCTTTCACCTTTCAATAAGTTCTCTACTGCTTTTTTTATTGCTACTTAAAAAAAAAAAAAAATCCTGAGAGTCTGGAGGCTTATCGATGCACCTGCCACAGTTAATTTCTGTATTCTTTTCATATATTCCATCTGACAGGAGTGCACTACAAGGGCTTGCTTAGAGTTGTTAAGACGTGGTCTGTGAATATATATTGGAAAATTGCAGGTTCAAAGTAAATACATATATAAATGTGTTATATATTCACAGCATAGACTGCCTTTTGCTTTAAATGCATATTCATGTGTCTTTGTGTACTAAGTATGCACATTAGCCCTTTAGAAAAGTAGGCACTGTTCAGATACAGTGGCTGCTTTTGGAGTTAGCTCATCTTTGATTAGTGGTGGCACATAGCCTAAATTTTGAAAGCAAGACCCTTGAATGGGTCAAGAGAAAAATCTAAAGCTTGTAACAAACTTAAAAAGCAAATCAGAAAACTAAGCATGTTGCATATGCTTGTCAATTTAAAATAGCACACTCTCCCCATTCAGATTTCATAAATGTGAGCCAAATTCTTATTCTCTACATTTTAAGAGGAAAATTTTAATCCAAGATTCAAATCTTTCAAAATATCTTTCTTACAGAAAACTTCAATGCCAAGTTTTTAAATTTGAGAGTTTCTGTGGAAAACCTTTCTATAGAAATACTATAGTACCTTTTCTTCCCATCTTCGTGATTTTTATATGTGTAAAAAAAGACAAATCATGGTTCAGTTTCAGTATTGCATGAACAATGATCACTTTTGTAAATTACACGGACAGGATTTAAGTGATATTTTCTAAAGGAGTTCATTAGTAAATTTGTGGAAAAGATGTGAAATTATTAGGAACCAAAATATTAGACAATGTTTTCCCATTTTGATACTCAATTTTACAACTAAAATGATTTCGTGAGGAATAAATAGTCCAGGCCGGAGCATTCAGAATAATAAAGCTTTTCAGTTACTAAATTGACTAAACTAAAGGTTTAGTCAATATCTGGCTGAATATGAAAACATTGTAATTCCTAAATGTTTCAGAAAATTTTCACTTTTATTTGCTAAGACCTGATTTTAATATTTGATATTCCTAAGCAGGTTCTTAATCTTTTGAGAGGACTATGGGCCCCTTTGAGAAGCTTATGAAAGCAATGGACTGTCTCTCAAATGCGCATAGCACATCTATGAACATTTAAAATGGTAATAGAATTTCAGGGCCCTCCATCTGCCAGCCTCCACCCCACCAGCCCCTTGGAGCCTAATGCACACAAATCAAAAGCTGCTCTAATGTTGGTGTGATAACATGTTTTGAAATAAAGTAGTGATTAGGCCGTCCACTGAAGATACTTCTAAGATAGTACTTAGCAACTTCTGTCTTGGAATCGTTTGTATAACTTGAAGACTTTGATTTAGTACCAGCTTTGGAAATCGAAACCACACTAATATGAGTGAGTAACAAAATGGTCAACACTGAATCTTCAGGACAGTAAGATTTCTTTTGTTGGAGGTATGATGGTGTGTGTTGGAGAGGGGATTTTGGCAAGCTACCAAATTCTTGGGCATGGACAAGAAAATCCAAGAAGGAATCCTTATAATTATCACATCTACCAAAACACTCGATTCTTTTTATTATTGCTCAGATATGACAAACGTTATCAGTAGATCACTGTCTAAAAATATATCAGTCATCATGACCAAGAACAGTTGAAGATGATGATCAATGAGCAAACTCAGTATAGTTCACAGTTGATAACATTTTAGTAGAAAGTTGGAGGAGCAGATGCTGGGGTTGGAGGGCAGGGAATTCAAAAGTTATTTTTCTCCCTCCTTATATCAGGGAGGTATTTCTTTGTTTTGCCTTTCTAGTCACCCCCTAGAGCGGCCTTTGGCCACTCTGCCAATGAGACTGTGCCTCCACTGCCCCGCAGCCACCCCGTCTTCTTTAGGGAAGCATGTGGATTTCTTTACATCTCAACCTTACTAT